ACAAAACCAGCTTTGTTGGGCAGTGCTTTCCTTCCAGTTCCAGAACTCCATGGAAGGGAGCTACAGGTGTGGAATTGGGAAGGACAGGGTGGCCCTCCTTGAAATCTACTCTGATCTTAACATGTTGCTTTGTCTGGCACAGCTCAGCCTCTGCAGACCTCAGGCTGACAGAGCTAGAGGTGAATAAATACCATGCCAGGACCCAGTTGGTTGCCAACTCATGGCGAGTCTCTGCCACCATACTTCTGTCTCTGCCCCTTTTGGGTCACTGCAAAGGTCACGGGCAGCCTAAAGGATTCTTTCTGCTGCCAGAGGATGCGGGGAGCAGGTGAGTCCCATGGAGGAGGGCAAGGCCTGTGTAAGTTTTCTGAAGCTTGGATTTCCTGCCCAGCCTGCCACCTGCTCTCAGACCAAAGGGCCCCCAGGTTGTCTGCCTAGCTACAAATTAGGGAGGGCAGGATACTGTTTCAACTGCAAGGACAGGGACACTGTTTCAACTGCAAGAAAACTGGGCTACTTTTGAAATGAGCAGTGGAGTGTGCAGGAAAGGATATTGAAGTTCAATATGTAGATGATAGAGACCAGATATGTGACAACAGGCCCTGTTCTGACTGCTATAATTCTAACACTGTATGCCCCCTTAAGTTAATCAGGGGGCCACTCTCACCATTTCCACTCACAGACAATGCACCCAGGCCAGGGGAAGGAGTAAATTGCCCAGGGCTTCCATCCATAGGGCAGGGCAACCTGGGCTGGAATATACACACAGCAGTCCTGAAGAACTTAGTCTTGTGTATCCATCATTGTATCTCATCTTCTAGAAGACCCCTGCCAGGGATCTGATTTCCACCCTTCAGAAGTGAGGAAGTCCCAGAAATGTGATATTGTTCACCTAAGACTCTACAGCAGTAGGTGGCAGAGTTGGATTTCAAGCCAAGGTTGGTCTAACTGCGGGTATGGAATTCATGGTTCACATGTTTCTCTGGCTGCTTCTGACACACTTATCAGCTCAGGGTGCACAAGGAAGCCTGGGCTGCCAGAAATCCCAAAAGAGCTGCCCTTCCCGCTTCTGGTCCAGCCTCCCTCCTCCACCACCCTTCATCACCCTGGCAGCTGGACCACTCCCCACCCTTGAGCATACACGGTGGGGAAGCAGGAAATGGGGCTGCCTTTCGTGAGATTCACTGTAACGAATTCCAAGTCCAACTGTGGGTGGAAGCAAAATGATCAGGATGACAATACCCTCATGGATATGTCTTCCTACGTCTTGTTTGACAGGCAACTCACAAGTGTAAGTGTATACACACACACACACACACACACACACACACACACACACACATCCTTGGCAGCCCTCACAGCTGCTGGCTAAGGTTAGGCTTGTGGTTCACCATGTAGCCTCCCAGGAGCTCCACACAGGAGACTTTGGAGGTTATACCAAGAGGCAGGGCCTGCCACGTGCTTGCATATCACCAGTGCCAAGAGCTGAGTGTATCCATGATAGTCCCTCCTTCATTCTGGTCTACATTTCTCGAATCCTTTTTGATCTCACCATTGGCTCTTGGGCTCACCCACCCCTGATAGCCTTAAAACATACAAAGACATGAATAGAAATGTGATGTGGTAATGCCTCCTGCATATGGGTGCCACCCAGAATGTGTACATGAGGGTGGACATTTCACCTGGTGGATAAGCTATCGGTTAGGGTGCCTGTGTCCCAAATGGAGCATCTGGGATGGATGTCCAGCTCCGTCCTCCACAACCCCCACTTCTGACTCTGATTGGAGCTTGCTGCACCAATGCCTGGGAGACAATGGTGAAGGTTCAGCTGGGTCCCTAACACACACACGAGGGACCTGAACTGATCTCTAGGCTCCTGGCTTTGGCCCGTAGTAGTCAGGGAGTGAAATCGTGTCTTCTCTCAAAGACATTTTTTAAATAACAAAAAGAATAACTATAGGTAAGTTTACAACTTTCCACAAGCAATCACAGGACTCCACTCTCAGGGCCTCAGTGTGGAAGGGCTTCTCCATGAGGAATCTGCACCCACACTAACCTGCACATCCAATTCAACCAAAACAGCAGCCCAACCCCCTTAGAAATTCAGCCCTAGAAAAGAGGGAAAGTAGCAAAAATAAATGGGATACCTAAACCTGCTGTAACCTTTTAGTGTCTTGTAGGAAAATTTAAAAATGCATGCCAGTTTCAGAGATGAAACTTGTCCAGTCCCCTATGTAATTAGGAGATACAAATGGTATAAAAGAAGTTATGTGGGTGACCAGAAGCTTCTTTTCTGTGCACAGGCAGCTGGTGATAGCCCAACCCTCATTGCCTTGCATAACCTGCAGCACTTTGTGGTTGCAGCACAAAGCAGTCACAACTCCGTCAGCAGAAACACGGCACGAGAGATAGCCTTTATTATTCTGTACATCTATTTTTCCGAGAGGAGAACAACTTGGAAATAAATCCAAACCAGACATAGCAATTGTCACGACACCGGGACAGTCTCTGGCACAGAGAGATCATGGCTGAAGCAGCCCTGCTTGACACAGAAGCAGCAAGGTGGAGGGGCGAGGCTGCGCACCAGGATGTGACGTCACATCACGGCGGGATGGGGGAGCGAGTGGCTTCTTTGGTGGCAACATTATCTCCATTTGCCTACCAAGAGTGATCCTGGGCCTTACAGGGGCCTGGCATGGAATTGCCCTGCAACTCCTCCAAACAAACCTCAAAACACAGTGTTTGGAATTAAAAAAATAATAATACATTAAGTGCTTCTGGCACCAGCTATAAGAAATATCTGTGAAAGGTGAAAGACTGGATGATCAGAGCAAAAGCAAAGTTCTGGAGGCGGGAACCTGGCACTCTGCTCATGCGCCACTGGGGCATTTGGGCAAGTTCTGCAGGAAGCAATGCACCTGTTTCACCAAGAATCCACACAAGACGTGAAGACGTGCGCTTGGTGAAACATGTAAGGGAGCTTGGATGATCTGATCCACCCGATTGTCCAGACAGAAACCTGGGAAGTTCTAAGAGACGCAGCTGCGGTCCCCAGGCCACCAGCTGCAGAGACAGAGCTGCACAACTCTAAAAGCTGCACAGTTGCCACCACACCACACACACTCTGCTCTTGCCCATCCCAGGACATTTAAGGGAAACCAGTAAAGTAAGCACAGTGGGTTGGCTTTTTTTTTCCACTAAGAAATGACTTCTTTGGCAAAAATGCTTCAGTCTCACGTAGCCAAGGCCAGAGCGCAGACACAGGGCAAGAGATGGGCTCCTTCCTGAGCATTAAGGCAGTTTTGAGGGCTGTTGGCAAGCACGGTATTTGGCAAGAATAGGTAGCTCCCCTCTCCTTGGTCTCATTTGCATCTAGCATGAAGGTGAATAAGTGAACAGCAGACACCTAGATGGGGAGTAGATGCTCACGGGATGGTCTCATGCAGATATTTTACATTTTGCGCAAATAGGAATTCCTTTAAAACTTGGCAACATAGCCAAAGTTCCAAGTGTCCCAGACAGTACACAGAAGCACCCTTGTCATGGGTGATCTCGTCTATTAAAAAATGGTAGGGGTGGGGAAGGGGGTCAGAAGCAGGGCACACAACAGAAGTGGAGCTTTAGCTAGGACAGAGCACAGAATCCCTCTTCATTCAGCCTGAGCAAAAGATGCACCAGACTCCAGGACTCCCAAGGACTTTCTGGGTGACCCTTCCCACCCCAGACTCCAGGAAGCACCATGGCATTAGTTGGTGTTGGGTCAGCTAGCACCACTTTTCCTATGCACCCCGGGGCAAGGATTCTGCAGCCAGAAGGACCATCGGAAGCTGGCAGCTCCCTGTCACACGGGTCCCTTTCCAACTCACCTTTTCAGGTCCCCTGTTTCCAGGAGCTTCCCGGAGCAGCTAACCTACTTCCTTCCTGAACAAAACAGCCACATCCTTTCCCCCACTTGCCTTCTTACAATACATGGCTCTTTGCTGAGAGCCAATCCTCTGGCACTCGAGGGCACTCTCTTTGAACATCAGCCCTGAATGGGGCGAGCCCCACTGTGCTCGGGGCTGAGGACTGCAGAAGGCTCACTGTGAGTCAGACTGGATCCCTTAGGAGCTGGGAGACCTGGAGCGAGACGGAGCTAGCAACGCTGGGCATTGGTCTTTTCATCTGGAAAATGGGGAGATGGAAACCAGTTCTGCCATGCTCACTGGGCAGAGAGGAAGCCATGTGGGTAAAGCTGCTTTGCAGGACAAAAAGGAAGAAGAAATGTGTTAACAGCCGTGAAGGCATCAGCACTCGTGTGAGGACTCAACCTCACTGGGGGGCCCAGACCCCCACCTTTTTGCTCTGTTGTGTTGGATGCTCTCCAGCCTTGCCTTTTGCAAAGAACCGAGATGCTTACCACTCAGGCTGCCTCAGTCTTGAGTGAGGACCCAAGAGAATTCCAGCCATAAATGGAAATCCCACGAAGATGCCACCCACTACTAAATCCCAATTTCAATAACTGAGCTAAAACCAACTGCCACTAGAGGGCAGCACCCGCAAGGTTGTAACAGAATGAGCCTAGCAATTCTGTGAAACCTGCTCCACCCACGGAGAATTTGCCCCTCCACTTGAGTGATGCGGTTTCTTTGTGCTTGGTCCCACCCTCCTCTCCAGGGTACCAACTCCAGTCCATGAAGAGGGACAAAGGGAAGTTTGCTGGAGACTGTGTGCAGGACAGGATTTCCAGAAGTCTGAATAATCAATAAACAGGCCATGACAACAGGCTGCCCGTGGGCACCCACCTGGCGTCATGAGGACAGAAGAGAATCCCTGGGGCAAGGAGAGACATCCATCCAGCATCAGAGTGTCCCTGCTAAGGTCTTGGGGACCACGGATGGGCTTCTGGGTCTCGTGTGTGGCAGCGCAAGTCCAGCACCTGGCCTTGGTGGACGTGGCTCACACCATGGTCTCTGCCGGCTGGTCTGGTGTAGCATCTGCTCACGGTGCTTCATCTGCATTCTTCTCCTGACACCATGGTGGTATTGGACCCTCTGGTGTCCAGAAGTCAGAGGAAGGTTCTGGAACACGCTCAACCCAGACTCAGATTAGCCGGGGTAGACACGAACTAGCTCAGGATCCTGCAAAGCCTCTGGTCCCTGGCTTCACTTGAGGGACAACCAGACCCAGTCTTCCAGACTGAGGCTCACAGGCCAGAGCACAGACCAGGATGGGCCAGGGAGACGGAGGATGAGTGGTACTTTCCCCAGAAGCCAAACAGGTTTTATGTCTGTTGCTTGCTTGCTCTCCATTTTCATTTTCATTTTCTCACTGAAGCCCCTCTTCTGTCTGATTTGGTGGCCTGACAATTTCTTCCTTGTCCCAGAGGACAAGCCAGCGTGCTTGGAGGTTCTACCTTTTGCTCAGACAGTCTCTCCCCAGTGCTGGGACTCTCTCAAACCAAGGGCTTCACCAGGAGCTGTCTCCCCTACTCTCTCTCTTCTCCTCTCCCTCGAGGCTGGCAGTCCTCCAAGTCACAGTCCAGAGGCCAGATAAACGGAAGATGAACACAAATCAGAGTCACTAAGTCATTTGGAACTGGGCAAAGGAGAGGGGTTCAGAAAGGACATCTTCCAGGAGGACAAGCCCCAGACAGACAGTGTCTGGGGCAGGAGCGGAGCGGATGCAGCTGACCTGGACACTGGCTTGGCGGGGCTCCACCTCCGCCTCCTCAGGGCCAGGTTCAGATGGCCAGCCAGTGCTGCAGCTGTGGAGAGAGACGTGGAAGGTTTTCAGACAGGGCTGGGGCAGGCTGGGGTGCAGGGAACCAAATTTAAAAGGAAGCACATAGAAGGTAGGAGAGGAGTATCATGCTCTCTTTCCAAGCTCAGAGGCTGCGCAGCCCTTGCCACTGAGCCTCATCAGGGCAAAGGAAGCCACCCCAAGTCACATCTCGGGGCAATCGGAGCAGAGCCTGTCCACCCCCAAATCCTGACCTTTTCAAGGGTAGGACATGTGTCACTTTGCTACTGATAGAGCTGCAGCTCTTCTATCAAGACAAACTCCCGGGCTCATTGGTGACAGCTCACAGGGAGGGGGTGAACATGGAGTTGTAGGGACATCTGGGCATTGGGCATTCTAAGGCCTGTGAGGCTGGAGATGGAGGGCAGGCTCCTCTCCTCCTCCTCCTCCTCCACTGCAACACCACATCCATGGGCATCTCTCTACCTGCAGCTGTTTTGACTTTGCTGTCTGTGTGGTCCTGCCTGTGTTGTGCACAGCAGGGAGCAGCCAGGGCCCACCCCAGTCTCATCCCAGCTGTGCAGGATGTGTCTACCTGGAACTGTTTGACGTCTCTCTGGGCCACCAGGTGGTGTTCATTCTCTGGCGTGATGCCGTAAGCCAGTCTCTGCGAGGAGGAAAAAAAGGAGTAGGAGGCCTCAGCTGGGCCAGGGCTACCTCCCCAGGCACCCCGCTGACACCCCCAGATGAGGGCCACCTGCCGACCAATCCCACACAGATAGTGCCTTGTTTATGGAGCTGGCCCATTGGCTCTGAGTCTTCTCTCCTGAGGACATTTATCAAGCTGCCTCTGTAGTGGGACACTGGACCAGACCATTGAACCTGGAGCTGGGGGAGGCAAGATCCCACACGAGGGCCTAGCACTGAACCAACACTCATAGACAATCACAGGAAGAGCTGCAGCCAGAGACCCCAGGCAGCCCCTGGCCCTCCGTGGAGGGCAAGGAAGACCTCCCCGGGATGCAGGCACAGAGTGCAGGTGTTGGGAGTCAAGGGCAGCTCACAAGGTCATGGAAACCCTCATCACTGCCAAAGTGTGAGGAGGGAACAAGCTCAATTCCTGCTTCCTACATCCAGGGTGAGCTCATGGAGCACAGGTCCGCTGGGGGGTGGGGAGGGGAAGAGCAGCTGGGGGCAGGAGACCAGGACAAGGAATCAGGGCCAGCCAGAAACAGGCAATTCCATGTGCCTGGGACATTCTCCCTGCTTTCCCTGCATTCTCACTGGGTTCCTCAGCAAGAGCTTCAGGCAGGGGCAGGGGGCAGGACTTTTGCCTTGTGTCTAGGACACTGAGCTGCGCATCCTGGATCCTCAGTGAAGTCCCATAGGGGATGGGGCAGAGGAATGAGGGAACCAGGTGTTTGCTTTGCATGTGAGGGTGTGGGGAAAAGGCTACTTCCAGGAATCTGTAAAAGAGAATGTATTTAACAATCAAATACTAGGAGCCACTTATCAGAGAACAGGGTGCCATTGCTGGTAAGATATTTACGTATGTTGATCATCACACCTGTGTATGTTAGAGTACTTTAAAAAGTTCAGGGGAATGGAATGAAGAACTCATGTTATATCTGTGCAAACTTTTTAAAAGATATGCATAGTATTTTGATACATACAATTTCTAAGAACTTTTTGGATTTCCTTCGTATGCATGATTTAAAAAAAAAAATTTATACCAAAAGAACCTTATATTTTAATCCTATTTTTCAGGTAAAACACCCTGAGAACAGTTCCTTGTGTGATTGGATGGGAAGAGTTAAGACAGCCCATGGAGGAAGACCTTCTCCTTAACCCCAGGGGACTCAAGTAGAGATGCACCTTGCCACAGAACCGTAGGAGCAGCAGAGAATGCATGCTGAACACTCCCTTTTCCTTCCATGGAAGGCAGCATCGTCCTAGGCCCACAAATGTATTCAGGAGGTCCAGGGAAATACAGAGCTTGGCCAGTGATATGGCTCTGGCTGGCAACCACTTCTGTTTTCCTGCTTCAGCCCTCACACCCAAGCAGAAATGGCTTGAAATGCCACCCCTTATCCCACCCCCTTAACCTGACCCAGAGCTCACCTCCCAAAGGGAACCCCGGATGCTGAGGAACTTGTAGATCACGTAGGCAGGGACCAGGACCATGGAAGAGACGGCAATGCCCCAGCCCACCCAGTTGGCCCAGGATGGGAAGACGTAGTCGTCGTAGGTGAGTGGTTTGAAGTTGATGATGCTGACCACGACCACAAACTGCAGGACACAGGGTGCGGGGTGGGGAGGGGGTGCCCAAGGAGGCAAGAGGGAAGTAGAAAGGAACAGACTCCGAGAAAGATGAGAGGGAAATACACAGCAGTGAGTGATATGGGTTTAGGAGAAAATAAGAAAATGAGGAAGGAGGCGGAAAAAAAAAAAGAGAGGAGAGAGAATTCAAGAAAGCAAATGATAATGAAAGGAGGTAAAGATATCAGGGACCAAAGAAGAAAAGGACCAGAAGGGTGCATGGAGTTGGCACACGGTCCCCAGAGACCTGGCCTAAGGCTTGAGACTCCCTGCTAAGGTGGAAGACTCCCAGGGTAATCAACAGGGCTGGGTAAGGCTTGCAGATCCCAGTGCCCCTTCTCCTAAGAAACAACTCTGCCAACCCACACCACCCTAGGCACAGCCTCCCCCCTCCTGCCCCAGGGCCCCTGGCTGGCATACGACTCACCAGGAGGAAGGCAGGGCTGACGAACTTCCAGCATAGTCTCCAGTACAGGCCTGGCTTAAACCCCATCATCTGCTGGATGTCGTTGCTGAACCTGTCCACACCTGGACACGCAGAGGACACTGAGACAGTGGCTCCCACATGTGGGCCTGGCAGAGAGCCTCAGACTCCCTATTGTCCTCCCATGAGATGCTGCCCCCAGTGGGCAACAGGGCAGCAGGGCTAGAGAATGGTACCCTGGGACCTTGGAAACCTTGGAACAGGTGTTTTGCTGACGTGGAACAGTTCAGAGGACAACTTCGGGAGAGTAACACCCCAGCACATTTATCTGAGGAAAGCAAGGGCTCAGAGAGAGCCAGGCTGGCCTGATTGCAAAGCCTGACTCTTTTGTCTGGCTCACTCCTCTCCATACACACCTTGAACTGCGCATGTGCTCATGTGTACACACTTGTACATCCCTGATGCCTATTTGAGAGAAGAACTCTCACACTTATGCTGCCATCTTTTTGTAGGTAATAGAGCAGAGTAAGACCAGTGAGTCTGATCTCCTACGTCACACTGAATAATTGCCATGTATTAGGGCCAAATACAAATGAAGCTTTAGCATAAGACGACTGGATACAACTCAGGAAACCCAGATAAGTTTGAAATATTTGGAACATACTTATACTGAAAATATTGCTCATTGTTTATCTGAAGATCAAGGTCAGCTGGGAGTCCTGTGCTTTGCTACATCTGGGAATCCAGCAGAAAAAAAAAACAAAAACAAAAAACAAAGAAACAAAAAAAAAACAACAGGAAAAGAACGAGTTCCATGACTTGAGGTCAGTCACATCGTGGGTTCTTCTTTAGAAGCGATATTAGGATGCCTGCAGGAGCCTCAGCAGCTTCCTGTTCTAGAGCACTCACCCAAAGGCCAGCTCAGGGCTGGGAACACTTGCCCCTGAGGATCCAGTGACTCAACTGGAACTGCAGGGGGCTGATTGGACACAGGCAGTCCCCTGCCTCCCCCAGGCACAAGGGCTCCCACGCTTGGCAGCACACCTACATACCGTAGAACCAGGACACTCCGATGGCCTCCACGAGCACAGCGAATAGGATGGAGGTGCCCGCCGCAAAGGTGTCCAGCAGAGTCACCACATAGATGCCACCCTGAGGCGCAGAGGGGAAAAGCGGAGGCCATCTGTGACTGGAAATGGGCACCCCCTGCAGCATCCATCCACCAGGAGGTGGCTGGCCCACCTCCTCTGGGCTTCTCTGAGAAGCCACCAGACCTTACTCATTTGCGTTCTATCCAGGGCCTTTGAGAGACACAGGGTCTAGGGTGAGTGTGTCATCCGCTGAGGGTGGAGATGGGTTTCCAAATCAAGATGCAGTTGGCAAAGTTGCCTGGAAATCCCCAGGCCCGAGGTGAGAGGCAGTAGTGCAGGGCTAATCTTAGGGAAACGGGCCACAAGGTGGGGATGGGATAATGCTGGTTCTGACAGTGGTGGCCATTGGCCCCAGCCTGGCCCTATCACCCCCAGGTCTGTAGCTATGAATATCTGCCTTTAGTGAAAGGTAGCCTCAGGATCTCCAGGTGACCAGGTCTCGGCTCCTCCTTACCTTGGTTATACAAAACAGGGCCAGAAGGAAAGTACTAATGGTGACAGCGAGTGTGAAGAGTTTCCGGTGTCGCTTCAAGATCTGGAAGTCATCAGCCAGGCCCGTGATGACAGCCTCCATGCCTCCCATCTGGGGAGAAGCAGGGAGGGAGGGGCTGCAGGTCTGAGGGTCTCCCTGGACCTCAAACTGGGGTTACCTGCAGCTGGGGACTCAGGCAACCTGGCTGCTCCCTCACCTCCTGTCTTTCTCCCCATCCTCTCATACATGTGTGCCCTGCTCCCAACCAAACTTAGAAAGCACATGGAAGAGGGTGTAGGGTGAACTCTGGGCTACTCCTACTCAAGAGGCTCATCTGTCTTCAATGCCTTGGTGCTGATAAGCTGACCTGAAGGGGAGCTGGTAAAACAGACAACACTCTTGTATCATAGTTGCATAAAGAGTTTTAGTGGTGGAAACTCAAGGTAACCATTTGGGATGATGACTGTTGACGCCTTTCTGGCTATCAGGCCAGTGGGCATCTCAAACTTGGGACTCTCAGAGTCCAAGAGGGTCTCATACCCCAATACTTTGAGAAAGTGCATTCTGCGTGAGGCTCCTGCTATGGCACCTAAAAAACAGACATGTCATCATGCTCCCTCTTCTCTTGGAAGATATTACATTCATCAAAACTGATACTCTTCCCTAAGAGCCTGGAGGTGGGCTCAGCAGCCCTCTCACGGCACTCCTCCCGGCAGGGCTAGCAGCTGAAAGGTAGAGGCAATGAGAGGAAACCTATTTGTCAGCCCCACCTTGCGACTTTCTGCTAACTTCTTGGTATAGTGCACTGCTAAGGGTGGCACCGATTGAGAAAAGTGTCAGTAAATCTGATCCCATATGGGGTAAAATAAAAGGCTAAAAGGCTCTGTGTTGGTTGTTGATGGCAAAATACACAGGGAACGTACTTGCTTAGAGACCAAGACTGTGTCTCTTCCAAATCCAGTCTTCCCATCTCCAACAGGAGAGTGTAAGGCAAGTTTGTCTGAAGTCCCATCTATCAGGAATCCTTCCATACCCAGAGGTCTCTATGAGGTCTTGACTTTGACCTTGGTCTTATATTTTTGTGCATGAGGACTCACTTCTTTGTTTGCATCCCAGTAGGGCCTTCTGGAAACAGCTACTCATCCTGGGTACCCATCAGGGGATGTCTGACTGAGAACTGTGTGTTTGGGGATGGTGTTGGGGCTGCCTGAGTAAGATCAAGGTCACTCACTGAGCTGTCGAAGCCCAATGCCAGGAGCATGATGAAAAACACGACAGCCCAGAAGGTCGACCCCGACAGGGTAGAAATGGCTTCCGGATACAGGATGAACACTAGGCCAGCTCCTGGAAGAAACATCAAGGACCTCATCAATGGCTAGGACCTTCTATCTGAGCTGCAGATTGGAGAACATTGTGAAGCCCGGTCAGCTACAGCCCAACCCTGTGCTACGTGGTTGGTCATGTGTGGGCAGCACAGGCCAAGGATGTGACAATGAGTTTTCCTGAGCATCAGTGAGCCATGCTAGGGAGCAGTGTCTTGCCTGAAAGTCACAGGCTCTTTTCTGTGAACTTCACCTCATCTCCTACATCTTATTCTCTAATACGTGAAGTCCTCCATAGCCCAGAAGAGGCAGCTACTCCTCTTCTGCCTCTCTGCCATGAGTTGGACTGCATATCCCTCAGCACGAGCTAACCAGATGTTGGCCCCCTACTCTCGAACCTTTATGGCCATGACTTAAATTTCTTGACGAATCCTGCAGTCTTAGATTTTCTGCTATCGCAACAGGAAATAGACTCCTTAGTCTATTGGATATTAAATTCTTAGCATAGAGACTGAAACAGAGTAGACATTTCAAAGTCTCTCCTTTCTAGCCTGACCCTAAGGCAGGTTCTGTAACACACTCAGAGACAAGAATTTCCTGGAATTTCTATTTACAACAATCTCCAAGGACAGTCCATAAAAGGAGTGGTTTGGAAAAGTCCCTTACAGTTCCCTAGTCACAGGAAAGCTGCACAGCCAAGAATGAGATGGCTTTCTCGGCCCCTTCCATGGTAGGCTGGGCCCAAAGTGGTCTGCCCACTCACCTTCAGTGGCAACATCTTCAATGTTGACCTTGTGCTCGTGGGCCATGTACCCAAGGATGGAGAATATAGCGAATCCAGAGACGAAGCTGGTCACGCAGTTGATGGTGCTGGTCAGGAGGGCGTCCCTGGGAAAGGAAGCCTTATTAGTTAGTTCAAGTCACCTGGCTTTCCCATGAGCCACTGACAATCCATGGGGACTGCAGCCTGGGTCCAGCCTTAAATGCCATCTCCTCCTTTAGTCACCCTGCTCACATGCATCTCAGCACCCATCATCACCGGGTTGGCACCTGCTAATGCAACCAATAGGCTAGCAGTTTGCAGATGGACTAACTCGATAGCAGAGTGCTGCATCAAACTCCTAGAGAGCTGATCACTAGCCTCCTTCACATTGCACCCCAATACCTCCAGATCCCTGATGCCAGCATCTCAGAACTTTGCTGACTCAGCCTTCCTTTTGGGCTCACTTTCTGTGACTTCCACCCATGCACTCTTTGAACTAATCAAACCTCTCTGCTTTCCACACACTGCCTCCTATTATTCCATGCCATGTATGCCATCCACTCCATGTTTCTCTCATAATCTCAACTATTCTCTCAGGATCACCTCAAACTTATCACCATGCTCATGATGGTCTTCTGCTAGGGTGTCTTGCCTCCCTATAGCCTGTCCCACCAGCAGGCATTCACACTATTTTGCTTTGTCCTAAATGTCCCAAATTTCTGCCTTAAGCCATTGATGGACAGTGACAGAGGTATATCAGATTGCAGTCGTCATAGCACTAAGCAATCAGGAGTCAGGATTAATGTGTACACATTCAGATCACCGTGGAGTCTTCCAACTTCCAACCTGTCATGTTGTCTTAACTTCTGCAGGTCCTTACTACCCTATCTACCTGTACATGTGAAGCACAGAGCCAGGTAGCATTGCCTACTCTGAAAGCCACACAGTCCTCCTCTGTCCCAGCCATTCATCCCTATGATTCCCCAGCACCAACAACTTCAGCATTCCTCACTCCGTCCTTTACATCTATTTCAGAGGGATCCAGAAGTGAACTGTGTTGATCAGGACCCCATGGGCCATGTCAGGTTTCACAGAACACCCAGGATAATGCATGCACATCAGAAACAGAAACAAAAACAAAACAAACGAATAAAAACCTGTTTCACTCAAGGAAAATGGACCCCCTCTTGACTCCCATCTCCAGCACTTAGCAGAACTTTCCAGGACTCTGAAATGGAGCTTACCTGTAGCAATTGTTGTCAAATTTGTTGTAGCTGGCAAATGCGATCAGGACACCAAATCCAGCCCCCAGGGAAAAAAATATCTGGGTTGCAGCATCAATCCACACCTGAAAAACCAGCAGGCAAAAGCCACCACCCTCAGTTTCCATCTCATTGTTCCAGAGCAGCTGAGGAGTCCCCGGGATGCTCTTACAGCTAAGGAAACAGGGACTAAACAACTCTACCCCAGAGAAGAAGTGGGGTGTCTAGCAGTGTCTGGTCACAGAAGTCCTAACGGACTTCATCCTGGGAAGACTCATTGGCTCAATGTAATCCTGTTCTAAGTTCTTCCAACTGTGCTGACAGAGGGCATCCCAGAGGAGAACCCTGATAGGGGAAGGCAGACCTGCTCCAGAAGACCACGCTAAGGGCACAGTTCCCACAGGTCTGAAAGAATAATGTGTGCATGGGAAGGGGAATGCGAGGGCAGAGAAGGGAGTAAAAATTGCAGAATGAGTAAAAAAATGCAGAATGAATGGAAATTTGACATTTTTTTTAAACAATTCACAAGGCTGACTCCCCCCATAGGCTATATTACATTCTTGACAGCTAGTAAGAAAATAACTTTCACTTGGCCACTGGTGTGCAATACTGTGGCCTGTTGGGCTATCAGAATCATGAGAAAGCATACTGGATGTCTTCTTCCTAATCCTGCATAGCTTCTGCCAGGATTATCACTCACTGAGCACCCCACAGCCCTTGAGATTATTGAGGTGTTCTTGCTGACAGAAAGAGCTGGGGAAGGAGGTTGTATATAATCTCAGCCATTATTTGAAGATGCTCAAGGTACCTGGAAGTCTCTAGATCTTCCTCACCCTATTCTTTGGACTCCACTGTCAACTTCTTTCTATTCCCTTTATTGTAATTTGGGTCTCTGGCCAGGATAGAGAGCTGGATGGGACCGTTGGTAAGGAACGGACCTCTTTGGTGGCTGAGGTTATTCCTTGTATTGATCACCCTGGATGCCAGGGTTGGGAACCAAAGAGCAGAAATAGGGCACAGGTAGCTGGGGGATGACTAGGAGACCTAAGCACAGGGTAGGAATAAAGACTCAGAGTTTCCAATCTTCTTCGCTGAGTGTGGTTCTAATGTACAGAGTGGTCTAAGGGGACCAGGAAATGGAGCTGCAGAATCCATACCCGGAGAACTAGACGGGCTTCTGGAGATCAGCAGGCACAAATCAGAGCTGGTGAGAGGGAGACATTTACAGCTCAGAGGGAAGGGTCCTTTCCAAAGCTACACTGCCACCTTGTGGCAGAGCTGAGACAGATGAGATTTCCCACCACCACCCGCCCCCAGGAGCCCATCCATAACCCCACCCAAAGCTGGGTGGTCACCGGGCCCTGACCGTGGCCTCTTTGAGGCGGTAGAAGTCGATATGCAGGTAGGCATTAATGCCATTGGAAGCACCGGGCAGCGTGATGCCATGGATCAGGAGCACAAACAGCACAAGGTAAGGCAGCGTGGCTGTGATCCACACGACCTAGACAACAGACAAACATGGATGAGAGCATTGTTTTGTCCCCAGCTCTGGACACAGAGTCCTCTACCAGAGAGTCAGCCTCCCCCTCCCCCACATTCCCTCACCCCATGTGCATGCTGTGAGCTGAATCCCAAGGCCAGATCATGAGCCAAACTCCAGGAACAGTCAATAGACACAGGTACACCAGAGAGAGAGGCTCAGAACCATGGGGACAGTGGGTCACACTGGAACAGCACTACAGTGGAAGTGGAGGCACCAAGGGCAGAGCTCAGGTGCTCCTAGCACCTGATGTCTTGTCTTCTACAAAGCTGCCTCCTTCCACCCCTACAGGCTGCCTCAGGTGCACACCTGCCTGTGTACTCCTCCCATTCCCACCCTACCCCAGTCCTGTATCCTTCACTCATTAGTGTTGGTAGTTGCACTCCATTCAGGCACATTGTAACTACAACAAAAAGCATCCTGGGAAAGCCTTCCTCCTAATCCTGTGTTGCTTCTGCCAGGATTATCATGCATTCCAATAAAGCATGGAAACACCCTGGAGAATTATGAAAAAAATAAATGTTGCCATGTTCTCGATGGTGGGATATTCAGAAATCTCACTCTCTCCCTGCCTTTCTTATACCGTCTCTCTTTCCTGCTCCTTTTCTCATCTCTCCTTGTCTCTCTCCTCTTCACCCTCACTCTAAGGGCACTGCCCAAGAAACCATGTAACTGGGCAGAAAGCAGAATCTATAGACGGCCTTCTCCTGGGATACATCCCAGGGGTCTTGTTCCAAAACAAGGGGAGGTCATCTCCCCCACTAGAAAGATACTCCCTGCTTCCTTGCTGAGGCTGGAGGGACCCAGGAGAAAAGTGAGTGCAGGGGAGATTGATGTGGTCTTCCTTGCAGTTCCTTCTCACTCTTGGCTATGCATTAGAATATTCTGGGGGAGTCACAGACAAGAATGTTCAAGTTCGGACTCCATTCTGATTTCCCTGGTCTGGTGTGGTGCAAGGACTGCGGGTGGGAGGAGGGCAATGCTGCGTTTTCATATTTTAAAGCTGTTAAGACGCCATCAATGTGAAGCCAAGGGTGGAGGTCAGTGCTATAAGCAGATGCAGAAAGCGCAGTCAGAGCCATAAAGCCTCAGCTGCAAGAAAAGTGGACACATAACTTAAGGGCCAGAATGTTCCTCCCCCAAGCCCTGGCACCGTCCACCCCTGAGAACCTTTGCACATTCTTAGGAAGAAAACAAAAACCTTGAAACTTGACTGAGAACAAAGTTCTTTGCCAACCTAGAAAGATACAGTCTCAACACAAAAGTTGAAATACAGGACATAAAATGGGATGTTCCCTATCAGTGTTTGGAATACTGGAGTGTATCCTCCTTGTTTACTTGCTTGTCTGTCCCACTTGGCCATGAGTCACTTGGAACCAAAATCTTCTATTTTCAGACCTGGATCTCCAGCACCTGGCATAAAGTGGCCTGCAAACATATTTGCTATGGGTGGTAATTGGCATAATGTCTACATTGCCACTTGGGAGGTCTGTGTCCCACAGAGATCCACCTGGTTTGAGTCCTGGCTACTCCACTTCCAGTTCCAGATTTGTTGGTAATATACACACTGGAAGCCTTGGGTCTTTGCCATTCACACAGGAGATAAGAATGGAGCTCCTGGCTCCTGACTTCAACCTGACCAAGCCCTGGATATTACCAGCATTTGGAGAGTGAACCAACAGATGGAAGACATCTCCCTCTCCCTCTTGCTGTCTCAAAACAAAAATGAATTTCAAAAACAAACATATTACTTGGCTAAGTGATTGGGCAGTTGCAAAAATGAATGGTTGGACAGCTAGGTGGATGAATGCATGAACATCTGATTGGAAAGCTGGGTGAGTAGCTTAGATCATTAAATTGATGGATGACTAGGTAGATGGAAAGTTGAGGGGAGAGTTGGATAAAAGGATGAGTAAGTGACAAATCAAAGGGTTAACATATGGCTAATTTAGCATGAGAACATGAGCAAGTAAATGAATGTGCAATGAGTAAAGGCATCAATGATGGCCACATCTTCTGGACTCGAGGGTGTCAGGGAAAGCATCTTAGTTTCACATTATCCACTTATGCTTCTATCAGCCCTTGTTCTCTGGAAGGTCCCAATAGATGTGGGGTTTTGGCTTTTTCTTTCTTTCAGCAGGGCAGAAACAAGAAAGACAAATTTCCCATAAATGAGAACAGAAACATGCCCTGGAAAGTGAAGTCATTGCATGTGGGTGGCCTCACATCTCTCTTGAATTCATTCTCCTAAACTGGAACAAAATGGATCTGAGTCCTTAACAACAGGCACACAAAGGAGCCCTCACGTACTCCAGTGATGGTGCTAAATGTCAGGATGCCCTATAATACACATCACAACTGCAGCCCAGCTGCCCTGCCCAGCCCAACACAACGGGTGTGACCCATTCCTACCATTGACAGACAACACCCTGTACTCTGACTTCAGAGTATCTCCCACAGGGCCTGGAGGTGGTTCTGCATTAACTATGCCTGAGGCTCCAACCTGGATTCAATTTCCACCCCGCCCCCCAGGAACACATCAGGATATGACCGGGCTGATTCTGGCTACAGTCAGACACCGACAAAGGGTGCTTATTCTGTCCAGGCACATGTGTTCCAAGCTAAGCCATCTGGGACTTACGAAGGTTCCCAGAATTGATGGCAGCTGCCAAGACCATTGGAATGCTCACTGATTTCTTCACCTCATGCTCAGGGTTGCACCCAGTCCATCTTCTCAGGATGAGAGATGCACTGCAAGTTGAGATTCTGAGCTCAGAGAGGTCCTAGATGGAGAGGACAGCGCCCATGTGCCCCTTCTCTTTGCCCTGTGTGTATACACGGCCCACATGAGCTCCAGTGAGCTGTTCAGGAGCCTCGTTCTCAACATAAGATCTGACCTCACAGCTCACATCTGAGCTTACATCTACCAGATCAGGATCCCTTTCTGGATGCCTGACCACGTGTTCTCAGCCTCCATGGCAAATCACTGCTTTACGTCACCTTAAGCCCAAATTCTTGCTCACATGATGTTCTTGTGGATAATTTGCAAAGTTCCCAGGGGACCAGCTCAAGCCAAAGACAGGAAATCAGAAAAAAGAATATGTTGGCTTCATAACAGGAAGAATTTTTGAATGAACTGAGATTTTAATGGGAATGAGCTGCTCATACAGTAATTGTCACTGAAGGTCTTCAAGCCTTCATAGGAATTCAAGAATCAGGCCGAGGATTGCCTAGATCAAGGTGAGGCCTCCAGTGCAACAACAATAGTATCAGCCAGGGATTGTCAGATATGCAAATTCACAACCATTTCCAATTAATCAGCCCCTATCAAGGAGAATCCCATGGGTCCACGCTTTAACAAGTTTAAAACTTGCTGTAACAAGTTGATTCTTATGTGTGTCACAATATGGTTAGTGCTTGACCTGCCCCAAAATATACTCTAGCACTCAGGTTATGAATGCCTGCATGCCATCACTGTAAAACTCCATCAGCCGATCTTCACTGGTCTAGTTGTGTCAGCCTCTAAAGTGGGTTTTGGAGATATTTTCATCAACTCTAATGGTTTTCAAATAGAAACAAAAAGACTGAGCTGTGGGGTATGCATTGATAATGCTTAAAAAACCACCAATCTGTAAATATTTTACTACATGCATTGCTCACTGGCAAATGGTACTATTCATTACAATTGTGCCCAACCAAGTCAGTAAACAAACCACCACTAACCCATACTGGCAAGTTACTGGGAGGATTTGGCTAGAATTTTGACCAGTACATAGAAAAAGACAAATTATTTACCTATTTAAATGTTTCAGAACTCAAATTTTCTTTGAAGTATTCTTTCTCATCTATGGTTAAACCACCCTGAATGTGTCTGACCTTACCTGGGTTACTCTCTCTCTTTCCAATCTTACAGACTTCAGCAAAAAACAGGAGGTGCTCTAGCTACTCCCATCTCCCATACCAACTGGGGAACTGGTGGAGAGTGGTGGCTTATCTTTGCCAGAGAAGTCCAAAATTTCTGGAAGTACATATTCCAGCACCAAACAGAGCAGGTCGCGTCAGAAATGCACTCTTTGAAACTTGGTAGAGTACAGATGTTGACGAAGGGACAAATATAGGGACCATTTATTATGCAGTCGCCACCTGTCAGCCCTGCACACAGGATCTTTCACCCTGCCTTGGCTACAGCTGCGTGGCCAGCATTTGATGTGAATCGCCTTAAGTGTCTAAGTGAGGAAACTAAAATTATGGGGGGTCATCAGTCCCTTTGCCCCAGGTGGAATGACCCAAAACTCATGTTCTTAGCAACTCACTCTTCTCAGGGACTGGTGTGAGACCCTGTGCAAGGAGCTTGGCATCATCTTCCAGCTCTGACAGCAAGCTCTTCAGTTACATGTGGCTGCTGGATGCCAGCTCCCCCAAGAGCTGAAGAGGCAGGGAGGCGTGCAGGACTCCAGGAGAGCAAGTGGTGGTGCACCTATGGTTGCAGGCACCCTGGGGGCTGATCAACTTCTGTCCTGGAAATGCTCCATGGGCCAATACAGACCACACAGGGAGTGTGGTCTGACTCTGCCCATTCCCTGCCCCCCACCATCCCAGAGCCATGGCGTCACTCATCTCCTCCCCAGGCATTGCCTTAGTTTGCCAAGCTTGGAAGTGTGAACATTTGCAATGCATTTCAGGCCGACGCTGTGGCTGTGGATGCTGGCCAGGGAGAGCTCAGTGCCCTGTTCCAGACACCATCTGGGAAACAATAAGCAACACTCTGGATTTCCTCATCAGCAAGTTTATAAAATCAGCTAGAGACATGGCATAGGCATGTCCTAAGTGAATCTCCTCATTCTAGAAATTCCCTTCACACAGGCTGTCTGGAGCACCTCCCTGCCAGAAAACCGGGGGACTGACGCAAAATGTGGGCTGTGGCTTTATTGACGCAGGCAAGGGGTACGCATATTCCTCAGTCCTTGTGTTTCCACATGGAGGGACTTCCCCAGTGTGCTGCTCCTGTTCCACCCCCCATTGCACTCCTCACCTCTCAGGGAATATTTGCAAATAGGAACTGAGCTTGCTCAGCTCTGCTCCTGGTCTCTTTTAATCCCTAGTCTGCCTAAAGACAGCTTCTGCTATGCTCTGACCAAATATTATGCCAGGTGGCATAGGCTGTGCCCCTGTGGCAATGCTGCCTGGGGGATCTTAATCTGGACGTGACAGACTAGAAGCCCTGGGTGGGTTTTTGACACAGAAGTTGAGAAGCTGTTGAGAGTACTCTCCTTTATCAGAGACCCAGGGACTCTGCTCTCAGTTCCATTTCCTGTTGATGTGCAGAGAGGCAGCAGGTGATGGCTCAAGGACTTGGATTCCTGCCACTGAAGTGGGAGATCTGGACCGAGGTCCTGGTTTCTGGCTTCAGCCTGCCTCTCTTTGGCTCTTGTGGGTATTTAGAGAGTGAAACAGGAGATAGATCTGTCTCTCTGCCTTCCAAATAAAAATGAAAATTAATATATGTTAAGATTAAAAATATAAATGAAGCCCACACTTAGTCCAGTAGCTCATTCATCTTTGGCAGTTCCCAGGGATAGACTGTGATCCGAGTGGGGATATCAGAGAGGAGGGCCTGGCTCCTGGTTCCACAGAGGGGACTAAACAAAGCTGAACTGGGGCTTCTTCCCTTGACAGTCTCTCCTCTCTCTGTCCTGACTCAACCTGTGCCTGCCCTTATTGATCCAGCTCAAATACCATCTTCTCTATAACCTAAGTGGAGGTTCTCACACAAGAAAGCTTCCACTGTGGAAATTCCATCTGCATTTAAACAATTACTTACACATAAAGACTGCCCGGTACAGCCCTTACTTTAAGCTCTTACATACTATGCGCAACATATTTCTCTTATCTAGTCTATTCCATTTGTAAAAATTGTGGTATCCCATTAAATCGATTTCATGACAATTGCAAATCTCAGTTTGTATTTCTATGAAAGAATAGACTAAGTGTGGAATTAACCCCCTGGTAAAAATTTTTTTTTAAGTTTACTTATTTGAAAGAGAGACAAGAGAGAGGATCTTTCATCCACCAGTCCACTCCTCAAATGTTGAAACAGTGCAACAGCTGTGGTTGGTCCAGACAAGAACTAGCAACTCAATCCAGGGTTTGTTAATGAGTGGCAGAGACCCAAGTACATGATCTGTCATTTTCTGCCTCCCAGAGTGCATATTAGCAGCCAACTGGATTAGACACTGAGATGGGACTCAATCCCAGGCATTACAATACAAGATGTGGGCATCTCAATCCACAGCTTAACCTTCCATGCCATGACACCTTTCCCCAGTAAGGTGAGGCTTTTAAAAATTAAGACATAGAGTAATACAGATATAAAGGCCTTGTGGAAGCGACACAAATGGCTGACTGCTTTGCCTAACTCCTCATCAGTGTCAAGCATCAACAATGTGTGTGCACCATGTAGGATATTCCAACAAAGACCCCAGATATGCAGCCTAAGCATTATCACATGGAGCAGAAGAACCACCCAGCTGATCCCGGTCAACTTACAGAACTGTGAAAACTAATAAAATCATTACTTTAAGTGAGATGATTTGTTACAGACCAATAAGCAAATCAAAGCACCAGAAATAAGATTTCCCAGATAGCATTCTCCATATGACTCCAGAGGAATTGTTTTGTTCTTACGATATTCTTCAGGCTAACAACCTTCTAAGGCCACTTTCTGAACCCTGAGAGACTGGCATTGCACCCAGTGTCACCCACATCACCCATCGTCACCAGAATGCCAGCTGTGGACTGGCCTCACTGGCCATCTCATCTCAGGTGCTTCTCTCCAAGTCACCTCGAACCTAAGGGCTGCTCAGCATCCCATCAGAAGAAGCTCACAGCCCCAGAATACATCTAAACATCTAGAGAACCCTCTTGGGTTCAAAAATTCTGATGAGGGATCAATTCGCTTCCTAGTGAAGCAAATGATTATGTTCCAGAGCAGGGGTCAACACTGTAGAACAGAATGAATGCTTTATTGCAGACACGTGAATGGTTGCTTTAGGCTTGGCCCCAACACTCCCAGACCCCGCTCTCTGCTGGTGCAAGAGCTCTCCGGTGAGAAAGCAGAAGGAGTCATGATCTACTTGAACCCCCTCACCCTGCTACTGAGGACACTTAGGCTTCAGGAACAAAGCGCAGACTTTGTTCAAGCCAGTGGCAAAAACTGGGGCTGGTAACCAGGCTTTGTATCTCCCAGCTCCACCTTTGCGTTTCAGCAATGGCATGGCTATACCTCCCAACTGAAAGAGAAGCAAAGAGACATTACCTTTCCTGATGTCTTCACTCCTTTCCAGAGGCTAAAATACAGGACGATGACAACGACCATCAGACAGAGCAAGAGCTGCCACTGGGGCAAGCCAATGTCGTGAATCCCGCTGCTCTCGTGAAGGTGCAGGACGCCACGCCTGCCCAGGGGAGAGGGAAGGAACCGGGGAAGATGGTGTCAGGGAGGACAACCAAGACTGTAACCGCAGGCAAGTGCACATTGAAGGACATGGAGCTCGTCCATTTTCCCCTGACTCTGGGGTCTTGGCCAACAACATACAAGAGTACCTCAAAAGTTTGTTTATTTTAGTATAAAAATCTTTACAAACTGCATAGATTTTTTTTTTTTTTTCATAATATGCCTTTAGTGTGAGCTTTTAAGAGACTTCTCTTACAGATACTGTGTGGGCCTGCTCTGGTCAACCATGGCCTGTCTCCAGGATGGCTATAACCCATCAAAGCAAACTGTCCAGGGAGAGTTCAAGTTCAAAGCTGTTGTTCAAGGACAAAAAATATTTTAAATGTCTACTGCATGTATAGCTCTGGGAACAAGATGACAAATCAAACAGGGAAGGCCCCTACCCTCACAAAGTTCATTGTTCTAAACCAGCAGTTCTCAACAGGCAGGAGCAATTTGCACACCAGAGGGTGTTCAACAATGTCTAAGGTGCTTTCTATTGTCATACCTTGGGTGGAAGTAGTGTTACTGGCATCTGTGGATAGACCTACTTGCTGCTAAACACACTGCAATGCACAGGATAGTCTCAAAACACCGACTTATCGACCTGTTCTAAATGTGCATATGATCAAAGTTGAGAATTTCTAATCTAGAAACTAACACAAAAGTAAACATCTTGGGGCCCGGTGCCATAACACAGCACACTAAGTTTCCATGTGCAGTGTCAGCATCTCATATGTGCCATTTCAAGTCCTAGAGGCTCCCTGTTAATGGCCTGGGAAGGAAGCAGAAGATGGCCCAAGTAGCAGGACCTGCACCCACCAGGGAGACCTGAAAGAAAGGAAAAGTCAAATTCCCACACTCTGACTTCTCTTGGAAGCTCCTCCCCCCTTGTGACAAATTCCTAGCCTTTTATTCTAGCACTTTCCCAGGGAAACCACCCATTTCTCCATATAGAAACTTCCCTGTGGTTCACTCCACAGGTGTTTACTCTCAGTCAGGGAGGGGTCCATTCAGAAAGTGGTGGATTAATGAATTCATACGGAAGTGTTATAGGCAAACAGGGCTTAATATTTTGTCCTTCCCTGTAGTGGTCCTTTAATCTGAAAGAGCAACACATGAGCAGCAAAATCACCACCCCCCTGAAAAGGACATCAACATGTACTTGCTTCTCTCTCTCTTTTCCTTTTTCTCTCCCTCATCTCCTGCCCCACCACAAATTCCAAGGAGATCAAGGTTTAAGGGTTGATAGTTTGAGGCCTATCAACAAGAATGGGGCTTACAACCTATATGTGAGACTCACCTGGGGAGTTTTTAAAAGTTAATAATCTCAAAGTTAACTTTTTAATAAATCTTTGTACCATAGCATAGAATTACTGATATTCCGTCTCTGCTCTCAGCTAATTAAGTCAGAACTTTTGGTGAATGGGACTTGGGCACCTGGCATTTTTCCATTCCCTAAGTAATTTTCAGGAGCAGGCAAACAGCAATGCCCTGACTACTCCTTTAAGGTCAGCGGAGGCATTCTGGAAACTGTGCTTAGCTTCCCAGGAAACTAGAATTGGCTTTCTATGCCCGAGGAGGCTCAGAAGAGGTAGCCTTGCAGAAATCTTGAGGCTTGGTTGGCCAGAGGAACCCACAGCGTAAGAGGCAGATGAATGCCTCTGTTGGAAGCAACAGGAAAGATGGAAGGATTGGAAGGAAAATGCCCCCTCCAAAGCTGGGAACTCAGTTTGCTTCTCCTTGGTCAGGAGTCACTTTTTCTGTTTCCCCTGAGCATGTGAAAGCATGGAGGCCAATGCTCACTCCTTCAGTTACTCAAATCAGAGGTCCACTCTTCGCAAGAAGAGAGAGAGCAAGAGAGAGAAGAATGTGGGCCAGCAATCAGACAGACTCTGGGTTCCAACAGGTCCAACTCTGCAATCCAGCTGCTGTGTAATATGCATCCTTTTACTGTTTTCACAGGTTCTTCTTGCATCTCTTCTCTTAGCTGAGCAGCATGCTACAGGCTGGTCACAGGAGTATGGACAGGCTACAGCCCATGTGAGGTTCACAGGCAAGGTGCATGAACCCTCACCTCTGAGCCATCTTCCTTTACCATAAAACAGCTTTGGTAAGAACTAAACTACAGAACATGAAGCAATGCCATGAATCCAGGGAACATTCCCCACATGGTCATCCCATCCACCATCCTGACTGAGTTCCAGGTCCAGGAGCAGTAGACATCAGCAAAGCAGCTAAGGAATATTCACCCAGAAAGCTCAGCTGGGCGGGCTGCCCTGAGGAGGTGGCTGGTGCCTTCTGCACTGGCCAGAAGGAATCCAGGAGGAATGACAGGAGCGGAGCAGGGAGCATTGAGAAGACTTGGAAGTGAACACATGAGAAGGAATGAGCAAACTTGTGTGGTTATGAGTGGCCAAGACCTAGAAAGATTCATGTCCCTTCACTTTGACCCCACCATGAATAGACCCCCATCCCTCAGCCTCCTCCAACCTCCACCTTTCTGTCTCCTGTTGGCCCACTTAAGTGCAGTATCTGTGCTCCTACATGAAGCGTCTTCTCCACCTTGTCATTTCCCTGAGCCCAAATCCTCTCCTCAGAGGTTCCTATCACCAAATCACTGGAGGCGATTTTGCCCTCTTTCTGATCTGGATAATTGAGGTTACTACATCTGTAAGGTAGGAGGTATCCCTCCCCCACAACAGGTAGAGTCAGAGGTGCTGTCAAACCTCCAAAATGCACAGAGCAAAGCCCACCTGCCCGCCAAGGAATGAACCAATGCCAAATGTCAAGAGCATCAGGGTTGTGAAATTCTGAAGGATATAAATGCAAGGCTTTCAGAATCCGAGGCCTTTCGCAACCCACCCCCACTAACTCCATCACTTTTTTTGTCACACCCTGCCTCTGGCTCCTGGCAGTGGGAAGCCACGTGTCATTCTCCAATCAAAAGATGCCCCATGGCTCTGGGCCTTATGACCTTCTGTTCTTGCAGCCTGGAAAGTGCCTCATCTTGCTCAACTCAACTCAAAAATGAGCCTGTGAGGCTCTGGCTTAGACCGTCTCCCATGCGGGGGTGGGGGATGGGGGGAGTGGAGGAAAGAGAGAGAAAGAGAGAGAGAGAGAGAGAGAGAGAGAGAGAGAGAGAGGAAGTGAGATAAGGTGTGGCAGGGTTTTGGTATCTCCTAACAAAAAGAACCATAATCAAGTACTGACCTCACCCGACATTGAATTCTGCTTCTTTCCATGGTTTAATGAGCCAAGTGGTGAATGGTATCAATCACCATTTAGTTGATTTAACTGGTAAAATCTTACAAAGAAGCAAAGAAGGCACTGAACCAACTGGGCTTGCCCTAGAACTCACTCAAATGTGTCTAGTGTACAAACTGCTAGCAGACATGCCCCTTCCCTAGGCCCAGGCAGCCCTTCATGCGTGGGAGGGGTTCTTGCAGGGCTGAGGTGGTTCCTATGCATCTTGCCAGTGAGGTAGACCAGACCCCAGAGCTAATTCCCAAGAAAACAACAACGAATCCAGCTCCTCTCTCCAAACTCTGAGGATGCATTGGTTTGCTTTTGCCTTCCAAAAGTTTCATGAAAATGAATCATCATGAAAGGGAACATCCAGGCTTTCTGAAGTCTACAGGCCAAAAAGACTCATTTTCTCCCTTGACAATAGGCAGGGGAGCTTTGTGTTGGGCTGGGAGGAGAGCTGTGTTCCTCACTGTGAACTGAAGTGCAGTAGCAGTTTTCTGGTACCAGACACACGAATACCCCAGGTGCCTCCTCACAGACCAAGTTTCAGGCCTTAAGGTCTGGTTTAGCCATGGGATTGCTTGGCTGTGGGCCAGAGCTTGGAGAGCCGAGCCAGTCATTCCCTGGAACAATGGGCTCAATCCATCAGCTTAAATGAGTACAAGATGGTAACAAATTGGCCAGGAGGTCTGGGGAAAGAGGGAAAATCAAGCCAATTTCCTCAGGGTTGGCACCGGGAGTGCCACTTGCTGGGTTCCCAGAATGAGTCAGGATGGCAGTTTCAAAACTGAAACATCAGGAGCCAAGAACTATGTGCTATTTTTAAAAATCCACAGGGACACTCCAAAGAGATGAGCATAAGATGGGCTCCCGTCGACTGGCAGAGGTGCTGGGACACCTACATCAATTGAATCCCACCTCAAACTCTAACAGGGCAGAGGAGAAAGACGGGAGTTGGGCCTATGCATGGAGTGAGAACACTGATTAAACAGCTTGTCTCAGATCCTAGCTTGCCATTTGCTCTAACCTGAGCCTCTATTTTCTTATCTGTAAAATGTGAATGCTTGGGGCTGGTGTTGTGGTACAACAGGTATAGCTGCCATCTTTGGCACAAGCATCCCATGTGGATGCTGGTTCAAGTCCTGGATGTTTTACTTTATATCCAACCCTATGCTAATGACCTAAGTGCTTGAGCCCCTGCCATCCACATGGGACAATGGATGAAACTCCTGGCTCCTAGCTTCAACTTGGCTTAGCACTGGTACTGTGGCTATCTGGATAGTGAGTCAGGAGTTGGAAGATCTCTCTCTTTCTCTCTCTCTCTCTCTCTCTCTATATATATATATATAATAGATCTAATATCTATATAGACATTATATAGACATTATATATCTATAGATACATCATATCATATATGATGTCTATATGTCTAATATATAATCATATATTTAACTATATAATATATAGATATTAGATATAGATAGATACATGCATATATACTCTCACCATTCACAACTACATATATCCTTCTGTCTTTGAAATAAATAAATTAATTAATTAATAAATTCCTGAAAAGTAACCAAGGTTTCCAAACTCCACTCACGCTGGATGACTGCTGCAGCAAACATGCTGGCCATTAAGACGCAGAGGAGGAATCAAATATGACCTCACCTTGAGAGGACAATTCTACCATTTTCTGTTTTAATTTATAAGGACAAAGATTGCCAAGAGCAAAACGGAAAAATCATGCTTTGACCTCCGTGGGAGGATAACACGGAAGCATGCACCTCATAACACAGATCAGCCACTGCCTCTGCCCTGCTCCACTGTCTCCCCATCCAAACCACACTCATAAAACAACAACAAAAACAAAGACTTCAAACCTCCACCCACACGCGCTCCAGACATTCTGGGGTTTCCTGAGGCCATGATTATCAGGAGAAAAGTGGACAGGACCTAGAGTTCTCATGACCAGAGGTTACAAAGGTGTCAACCTTGTGCCTGTAGAGACTTTATTCTGTGACAAGTTCAGGGGTTAAGATGGGCCCCCACCCTGCGGGGACACTAGAACTGAGGGAGAAGCTGGCTGCACCCTGAGCTTCTGGGTGCTGGACTCAGGCATCTGTGCTGTTTAAACTCTCTGGATGATATTAGCCCTTGTGCAACCAAGGTTTAGAACCACTGTTCTGAGAGCTTGGGCCTTTGCAGACAGGTTACCTGGGTCTAAACCCACTTTTAGACTCCTCAGTCTTGCACAAGTCTCTGACTGTTTTGTGTCTATTGTCTCGAGCAAAAGGATAATTTTAGCTCACAGTGTCTAGGACTAAGGAGTATATTGCACAATGACCGGGATGCCATTTAAGCAAGATCAAGTCGAGCTGTGAGTTTAACAATTTATCTCTGAGTAGGAAGTCACTTAGAATGCCTTTTTGACCAACATAGTACAGAGGTTTTGGGGGTAGGCACTGGGGCTTCTCTGCCTAGCAAGGCTGGGACATAGTAAACAGGAGGCAGGCTCGAAGGGTACACACTGTGAGGAAATGCTCACTCCAAGGAAATCCTAGGAGTGCAAGTCTCCTGGATCCAAGCCTTGGATCTGCATCTGGCTGTGAACTTTGCTATCTCATCTGTGAAACCTCACCTCCTCGTGTGTGATTAGAATAAGGTTACAGAAAACTCCTCATGTTAGGACGAGGCATCTCTATGTGCATGTATATATGAGAAGGCAGAGGAAATCAGAGACTCAGGGTAAGTGGGTAATTCTTAGTGTTGTCACAGTCAGAGAGACTGGATGCTGCTATTGCTTCTAGCCGGTGCTCGCTTTAGTGGCTGTAAAGGTTTCGAGAATTTGATGACTGCTGTGATCCTCCCCCAGAAAAATCCCCAGTACATAATTTTGCACAGGACAAAGCTTTCTGGAAATCCAAAACAGTCATACTTGGAACACAGGTGAGCATGCAGGCACAGGCCCCCTAGCAAAACTTCTACAATGCATAGCGATTCAGGAGATGCTCTTGGGTCCTGAGAACATTCGCTCCTCTGCTCCTAGCAGGTGGTGTATTTTCCAGAAGTCACTTTCAACCAAAATGAATTTTCTTGGTCCCATTGCACCAAGATGGCCCAACTGGAAATGACTCTGTGTTAACCCCAGTACCGATGCAGGATTCCTTCTTAGGTTCTTGACTTAGGGAATCCATAGAACTGAAGGACATTGACTCTGGTGTTCTAGACCTGTGCCATCTAATGTAGCTACTGGTTAATGAATTAACTTAAAGCATATTAGAATCCCATGCCACATTTCAATTATTCCTGAAGTACATGTGATGAGTGACTACTGCATTGAAACACGCAGACACAAAACTGCGGAAAGTTTTAATGAGACATCTTGCTGTAGAATTACAATTATCAAATCAATATACCTGGACCGAATCTGGACTGTGGTCCATCTAGGTTCGACCTGCTTCAAAGAAGAATATGAAACAGAACCCGGCACGATTGCCTAGTGGCTAAATCCTTGCCTTACAATTGCCAGAATTCCATGTGGACACTAGTTCATATCCTGGCTGCTCCACTTCCCATCCAGCTCCCTGCCTGTGGCCTAGGAAAGCAGTACAGGATGGCCCAAAACCTTGGGACCCTGCACCTTTGTGGGAGACCCTGCACCTTTGTGGGAGACCTGGAAGGAGCTCCTGGATCCTGGCTTTGGATAGGCTCAGTTCCAACCTTTGTGGCCACTTAGGGAGTGAACCAGAGGACAGAAGATCTTTCTCTCTGTATCTCCTCTCTTTATATCTGCCTTATCAATAAAAAAAAATGTTTTTTTTTTAAAAAAAGAATATGAAACAGAGCTATATGTGGCCAACACACTACTGTCTGGACTTCCACCAAAAAAAGCGGGCAATGGAGGGATGGCTCTCTGCTTCAGACTTTATGTACCCTAAGGATGGGATTCCTACGAGATTTATCTCTTCCAGCCTATAGTTAAAGACATGCACTTTCTGTGTAAATGCTAACAGTTATGTAAAGATGGCTAAAATGAGACTTGCTCATATTGGAATAATAAAGGCAGATTGGACTATGCAAACACTTTAAATGAGCAACTAGAAACAAGTTGTCCATCACTTTCCTCCAGATCATAAACATACTGCGGCAGCTAAGGGGACTCAAGGGAGTGAGAACTTAAATAACAGAGGTTAGGGATGGATTACAACCATAGGACAAAATAAACATCTGTGAGCTCACACTGATGTAAATCAATAATTGAATAAGTATGAAATTAGGGAAGAAGGGATAACTCTTTGCAAAAGAATCCTAAGTAATTCATCCAGAAGGAACAGTGGGGCTAGAAAACCACAATTAGGCAAACACTGCAACAATCATCCTGGCCTACCAGAATCATCAACGGGATCCAAGAAACATGGGTAAACATATGTTGAGAAGCAAGATCTTTATACAATCTCAGAATATCTCCCCAAAGGACACTTATTAATTGCAAGAGAAAAATGTTTTCTCTGCACACGAGGCCCCACATTTGCCAAGCATCCAAGCTCAATATCACAATAGTAAGACTGACAGACATCAAGACCCCTCTGAACATATGCATTGAGATAGACATAGCATCATCTCCCTGGTCATCTTTCCAAAAAAGATGTACCTGTACCTTTGATGTCAATTTGAAGACACTACAAGCAAATCCATTGAAGGCTTAGTGCTCAGAAAGACCAGCGAGTACTTCGCAAAAATGATCATGGTCCTGAAACTCAAGGGAACACCAAAAAATGCTCACACTAAGGAGCCATAGCAACCAACAACCTGATAACGACACTGATAGGAAAACAAGTGGAATTTGAATAAAGTGCACAGTATATCCATTCATGGTGCCTATATGTTCCTTTTCTGGTTTCAGATTTGGTACCTTGATTACAGAAGGGACCAGCCTGCAGGGAAGGGAGGGCAGGGTCTATGTACTATTTTTAGAATTCCTCTTTGTATAAAATCATTGCATCATACCATAGTGCCTAGATTAATGGTGCTCTGTCTTCCACCACAGGCCAGTGTCCCCCAGGTTCACAGGGCTCAAATAACTTCCCTGAGCAGCATGTATCTGGCCTGCTTAGCTTGTCTTGAATTTTGCTCACAAGTTTAATTGCCCCAGGGACATCCCAGGAAGATGGCAGCATGGGGTGAATCCGCCAAAAACATCAAGATCAGACTGCCTTGGCTTCCCACTGCAGCTTCTTCATCTGCCAGCTGAGCCCTAGGCCTTCCCTTGGTTGACTGTAGTGGCTCCTAAGTCATCTCTTTAAGGAGGCCTACACTACCCACCGGAGTTAAGGTTCCTTGTCCCCACCACAGTTTCCCCATATACCCCCAGTTTTAGGTCTTCAACAGCATTATCACTCTCCAGAATGCTATTTCTTTCCTAGGGGCATGCACTCCCTAAAACATTCTTGCATCCTTATCCGGTGACTAACATATTTTCTTCCAAACTCCACTTTCCTAGCCCAGGACAAAGGCTCCATCAGCTGCCTATCCACAGCCCCAAGCCTAGGGTCAGATACATGACGCCTACACAGCCATTAAACATCTTAAAAGCTGTGTTCCTTCCTCTCTTACAGTTTCCTATAGTGATTGGCTCCCACCTTGCCTAGCACAGGCCTCAGGATGCACCAGTCACTGCCGGGTTGAGCTATCCATGACTTACTCATAAAACTCTGCTGCTGGCGTGAACTTATACTTGGAGTACTTAGTGTGGTTGCCCAGCACAGAGCCATTGAGGAGCTTAGGGTCAGTGCAGTTGGGGCTGTTCCAGGCGTGGCCACAGTCAGTCCAGGGCAGGTTGAAGGCAAAGGAGGAGAAGAGGTAGTAGAGCGACCAGGCGATGATGACATTGTAGTAGAAGCCGACGTAGAATGCGATGAGGATCACAGCGTAGCCGACTCCTGGTTGGGGACAGAGGAATCAGGCAGTGCCTTCCCCAGGTCCAGGCCTAGGGTCACCTCTCTTGGGGAATCAGCTATAGCCACTTCACTTACCAAATCCTAATTATCTGATTATCTGCAGTGGATTGCCAGAGTTTCACCCCCTATCCTGTAGGCACCCACCATCCTTTCATTTGATGGCTTCTCTTGCCACTCAAGTTTCCTCTGTCCACTCATCAGATAGGAGCAGCTGGGCCAGGAAATAGAGCATGAGTCTCCCTTGTCCCTTTGTCAGGGTAAAACAGAACCAGGTCTCACCCTCACTGTCAGGGAACTGAGTCCCTCGCCTCTGATCTCATGGCAATCCCTCTATAGCATTCTCTGACCACAGCTGAAGCTTCCTAGGATCTCCCCCAGGTAACTCTCAACACCTACCTCAGCCCATTGTATTCTCTGGGTCAAACTTGCTACTTCTTGGTTCAAGTGCCAACCTCACCTTCCTGATTGTGTCCTTTGGCGCTAGTTCTTTGGCTTTTTCTCAGCCTAAGAGTAGACAATATTTTTGCCAGTCCATCAGCCTTAAGTGATTATTAGTCTGTGCAGTCTGGCTTAGGCTAATCCTCTGCTTCCTTAATCAACTCAGGGTATGTGATGCAGGCATGGCCAATCAGAGTCCTGTTTCCACATAGCCACAGTGATTGGTCGACAGATGGGCCCAGGACTCGAGGTAAACCACTGAAAGGCTTCTCCAGGTCCTTGACTGGAACTGTATGTTTATAAGGGATGTATGTTTTTGCTTTGGGTTACTGTACAAGTCGTTAGGATCTGAGCCTGGAGCTGCTGATGGCCACTTTGCTTCAGCAGAACGTACCCGAGATCGGTGCTAACATAGAGGAAAAGAGAAAGATATTAATTCTGGGCATTATTCAAATGTCTGGACTTTAGCTCTAGTCCAGACACCTGGCTTTATGGAAATGTAATTCAATAGATTCTCTTTTACAGTAAACCCAATTTGAGTTGGATTTCTGGCCATTAAACAAACAAGACACTGAGTAGTGCATTTTTTTTCTAAGACTCTTACACCAGCCTTTATACAGCACAGGATGGAGTACACCTAAGTACTTGGAGACATGTGCTAGCTGGGAAGTGGTACAGGACCTTCATTGCCATGAGTTCTAAAATGGGTGTTTGTGAGACACCAGTTCTTGTTCCAGGCCCTTCTCCCTGCTTTCCAGAGGCCAGGGAATGTCATTATGGCTACTTTCTGCAGATGTGTTCTAAGTCCAAGTGCAAGTAGGCTCCTCATATCCCAACTGCTATCAGTTAGTTATGGCTGGAGCTTGAAAATATCCATAATTTACTGATCATGTCTGTCACGAGAGAAAGAGTAGTGTGTGTTCTAAAACCTTTTGAGATTTCCATAATTATTTCCTGTACATGAAAATAGACTTGGGCCATCTAGACTGCCTGTGTTAGTACCCTCTTTGGCATACCAGACACTCCCCGTAATTTGGAATGGTGAATTCTTTTGACCTTGTTGATCCCTCTGAACCCTCCAATGGCAGTGGTCTCCTTCAGATCCCCAGAAGCACACGGACACTTTAGGCAACAACCTTTGGCCTCCTCCAGGGCCTTTCTTTACCTTTGAAGAGTGGGCAGATCTTCCAAACGGTGGCTGCCCCTTCCCGGTTGTACTGTCCCAGAGCCAGCTCCATGTAGAATAGGGGCATGCCAGCAATGATGAGGAAAAGGGTGTACGGGATCAGGAAGGCACCTGGAGGACACAGAGGCGGAGTGTGACCTCAAGACCCCACCCTCAGAAATTCACATTCCTGTAGGACCAACAAGTGTTCCCTGTCAACCACTCACCTGACCATTTCCCAAGGAATGGGAATAGATTACACAAAGCAACGAATGAAAATATTCACAAGAGAGGCAGTAACCATAGCCATCATAATGAGGTTCAGTGGTCCAATTAGTAAGATCTGGGATGAGGAAAGCTGACTAGATTCTTCAGGCATCTCCTAATCTTTGATGCACATTGCATGCTGTGAAGCCACAAGGAGGATTGCAGGTATATCCTTTATCAAATTTATGTAGATACAGAAGCCTTTTCTTCATGAATCGGGAAGGGCAATCTAACCCAGCTCTTCTTTTTACCGACAAGAAAGCTGAGACCAGAGCAGGACAGTTGCTGCTTAAGTTACATATGACTGCACTGCTAATTTTGCTCAGATCGATATCAGTTGAAGGTCACACATGGCTTTCCCAAAAGTGACTCACTAGATTCTTTTCCGAGTCACACGAGAGCCTGCAGACGTAACAAGCACTTGGGGTCATGATGTCCCCCTTGGCACTGGAGGCTGAGGAGCAGAGAAGGAAGAGCTGACCTGTGGCGTGTTGGTACTGCTGCTGAATGGCAGACACAGGTGTCACCTTCAAATGTTCCAATCCATTAGCCTGGCCCTATTACAGCTGGCTGAACATAAATGTTACAGCATAGGAACCAAGGGGTTGATTTTCGGACCAGGAAGATGCCCATCAAGGGTGACAGAAAGTGGAGGGGACCCTAGGCAATGGGCAGCAGCAAATCCTGGAGACAACCCCTAGTGGAATCAGCAATGTCCTAAATCTAGTTACCATTCCTGGGACACCCTGGCTGCCAAGGGTGAGCTGAGCAGGACCTGTCACTATCAGGTGACTCACTGGGCTTCATGCCAGGTTAGCCCAGACTGCAAACGTGAGCAAAGCAAAACACCAGCTCCTTTTGCTGACGCAACGGGGCTGGCCAGGTCAGGTGCAAAAATTCCTTCTGACATTGACTTTTGGTTTCCATGCTGTAACCCTGGTAACCAAACATTTTCTCTGACTTGCCCACACCAAGGAAGAGGAAAGCCAGGAAGTATTGCAAGATGGTGACACTAGAACACCAGCAGTCTTAAAAGCAGATGCCTGCAGCTCACACAGAGATTCTTCACTGCATGCTAGGCATTTCCTGAGCAAAGTCTCATCCCATCTTCACATATCTGCAAGATAGTTCTCGCTGTCTCCATTTCACAGAACTGGAAAATGAGTTTTGCAGTTAGCTAACAACTGTGACAAAATCACATGGTGCCCTATGTCAGTCTCTGCTTTCATTAGATTTCTCACTATGAAGCTTAGAGCTCTTAAGGAGGAAGCTTTGGCCTCAGTGGTTGAAGACCCAGCTCTTTCTGGGTCTGCTCAGAGCAGGAGATGGACCAGCAGGAGGGCATTAGGAAGAACAATTGGGAAATGAGCACCTCCCACGTATCAAGTGTTGAGCTCTAGCCACCCCTATTCTACTAGATGATCAGTGGGATACCTGCTATGTCAGAAACCCCTAGGGATGGAATTGCTACACCCATTTTTCAGAGAAGAAGCCTGAGACTTGCAGAAACCAAGTGACCAGACCAAGTGTATGTAGCTGGTGATTGTTGGGTTTGGGATTTGGGTTCAATCCCACCTGGCTTCAGAACCCCAGAGCCATTCTCAGCATACATTATGATTCCAGAACACTCTAGCTTAGCCGAGGAAGACATCTGAATAACGCTGGACGTAGGAATGGGCCTCGGAAGTAGGCTTGTTCTGAGCGTGGGGATCTGAGCTCAGCTGAGCCTCCTGGCCTGTTGACCACAAGCCAGTGCAACATCCCTGACCTCTGAAATACTGCATGCCAACCTGTCTCTTGTCTTCCTCATTTCTTCCTTTCAGTCTCTAGCATTCTTGTTCTCTCACAGAAATCCATGCCCACTTCCACCTCTGGCATCAATGGGGAAAGGCATTAGGCAAGAGTGCCGGTGTACTGTTGCTGAGGAAAGCAGGCTACAGAACTGCTAACAACAAGAAGCAATGCTTGAGGACCTGCTATATGCCAGGCCACGAACAAGTTTCTATATGACCATCCATTCAAAACCACCCTCTGAGAGAGAACAGATACTAATGGCATCTCCACAAGGAGACTGGGGATTAGAAAAGTTACTGGCTTGTCTAAACCAGGATGTATACAAATCTGAATCTCTCCACACCTTCCTTGTCTCAAGCTGCTTGGCACCCAAGGGAGGAAATGGGAGATGAGCACAACAGCCTAACAGGCCTGCATACTGGATTCAGTGGTCCAGGGGAACACACTGAAAGAAAAGTCACAGCCAAGATCTCGGCCCTAGGGTTTGCCGGTAGTGACTTGGAGTAACCAAGGATGTGAAAGAGCAAGAGCAGTCAGGTGCCCAGGCTTCCCATACTGGCTGGTTTCCCCAACTCTAAGCCTGGGCTGGCAAGTTGCCTACTTTGGGATCTATCTCCACTTTCGCTGGCTGGGAGTTCCAGCAAAGGGAGAGTTATATGCAAGAAGTGAAACTACAGAAGTATTCATTTGGTGCCTGCAGTTCTACTACAGGCTGTTATTGCCTGTGACTTTCACAGAGACCCAGGAAAACCACAGTGTCTGTGGTGGCTAGATTCGTCTCCTTCCTGCCCCAATACCCCAAGGGTACAGAAAATGAAGAGCTAGGGAGAGTGACCACTGGGCAGGATGGGTGCGAGAATGCACACAGGGTCAGCTTCCTTGTGCTGACATATCAAAGATGACAAATTGAGCTGTGACAGGTAAATCAACCGTGTCCTTATCTCCCTACTTTGATATGGGACCTTTCTTTCTAAGGACTCCATGGCCAAATTCAAGTTTGGAATCCTTTGCTCTTGGAGCTCAAAGCTGGAATGTGGGCAACCCATGAGGAACTCTGTTGCCTGCCTCCCCTTCTTTCATACTATAGCTCAACCCCATTACATGAGAAGCCTTTTGTATCCATGTCTGAGCTCTGTCTGTGCTGCCTGCAGACTGTGTATCCCTGGCATTCCCTCAGGCCTCGGGCTACACAAACTGGGCACACATATGTACTCTAAAAGAAGGATGGAATGTGAACCCCATGCAGACTTAAAGGAGTTAGGGCTAATTGGGCAGGGAATTTCAGAACCTGGAAACCTGGTGCATGGTGGCATCGGGTGGCAGGCAATTTTGTGGCTGGGCAGGACTTGGTTCTGGTGGAAGGATGAAAATCGCAGAGCTGGGATGTCCAAAGCACAGGGCCCAATCTGAAGATGACCCTGGTACCCTACCCCTGCTGTCCACAGCTCCAAGACCTGGGTAAATGTGCTTCCTCAAAGCCTTATGCAACGGGATAAGAGCACATATTCAATGGCTTGCCATGATTATTTCGAGGTATCAGAGTACAGCTCCAGGCCCTTTTTGGGTTCTCTGTCAATCACACACAAGAACAGCTGTAAAAGCACCTGTGCCAAATGGCAATAGCCAGTAGAGTTCACCAAGTGGCTGAGGGACAAGGACACTTCATAGAGTACCTGCTGGAGCCTCTCCCACACCGGATCCAGGCTGGAGGCAACCTCTGGGATTCCTCAGAACCCCAACCCCAGAGAAGTGACACCCCAACTTCTTTGAATCCCAACAAGCATGGAGACTGTGTGCAAGGATGGGAATAAGGATGCTCATAGGCCAAAGCCAGCCCTATAACCAAAACAATCCCCACCCCACCCCACCCCCCACCGCACCTTTCCTGCAGGAGGGAAAGATGTGTTTCCACAATCACTCAGCTCTTGGCTGCCTGTCCTTTGGGAATTACCTCCAGTGAAGACAGTCACCCAGTCCATGGTCACTTCCTTCCCCGCAGCAGCTGGCACCCAGGGAATCATCATAACAGGTTCTAAAGCCTCAATGTCCACATGCCATCCTGACTCCAGAGTACTGGGGTGGGCCTGACAGAGATCTGGCCAAGACCAACTGGCTGCGCAGCTACTCCTTCTGGCCAATGTTCCTTGCTGCCCTGCCCTGAGCTCTTCCCTCTGTAGCCTCCACCACCACTGTCTCACTAGTCCTCATCCTACTCTTCTGTTCAAAGCAAAGCAGATCTTTTTTTTTTTTTTCCAGGAAAATAAAGATGGTTAAATAGCAGTGTAGAATATTCGTTCTTAAAATGTCCTTGTCATATTTCAGAGTTTGTAAAATAAAAACATTCTAACCCTCAATGTTAATGATATGATTTTTTTTTCTTTTTCTTTTCTCTTATTGTTTTATGATACCATTGAATAGGCACTGGAGTCTCCCCTTCTCCTTCCCAAGTTCCCTCCCCTTCAGTCTTACAATAGGTGTCTTTTGTGAATTTTCAGTCCATCATGCTGCCAGTGAGGCATTTCATTTTGAGTCCATCCTTGTAGTGCATGCTCGAGGACCTACTTCTTTCTGTTTCCACCTATGAATTGTACTCAAGGGGATACCTTATGGAAATGCAGTGGAAAATAATATGTTCGAAGAAGACTTTTCTAAGGCAATTCTTTACACATTTGGTATCTGACAGAGGAGGCCTCCAAACAGCTGTTTCCTGTGGCCATATCTGTAGGCAAATACTCTGTTTCCATAGTAAACCAACCCTAGATCCTTCCAGGTTGATAACACGCAGAGGCTCCCCCGCTGGGGTGGAGTGCATGAGGCACGGGGTGCCAACTAATTCCTCTTCCTCCCCAAGCCCTATCTGCCTCAGGGACTCACTGACCACTCAGGGCCAGTGGGCCCTGGCCACTGGCCTTGGAGCTCCTGAAGCCTCATCCTAAGAGGAGTCCTGCTCCCCTCCAGTTCTGCACTTCAGCCAGCCAGGAGCCTCTCCCTAACCCCTCTCCTGGGAATTATACACAAGATAAAAGCACCTTTCTTGGCTGCAGAAGAAGTGGTTCCCTCTCCCCCTTAAA